CAACCCCTCGCTGATGATCCCTGAGTGGGAATGGGTGGTGAATTTCGTCCAGAAGAAGACCTTCCTTGAAGGAGACCTTCCTTGAGGGAGGCCAGGAGGAAACCTTGAACTTTCGGAAACGAGAGCAAAATTTGAGGGCAACGTTGGTCTGAGTTGAAGAGATTTCCTCAGCGCCATACACGCTCTTTATCGGTCCTTATTTGCGGATTTTTCAAAAGTGCTGCGGCTCACTTAAATGTCTGTTTGATGAATGGTTCAACTGAAATTCAATGGGCACAGCTGACTAAACCGACACCTTGCACTTTTTCCCGATATCAAAATATTTGAGTTGGTAAAAACAGTGGCTAGGACAGCAGCTTGCCCCTAGGTCAAGCCACAAGTAGCGGTCAAGCGCTTCCACGTGTTGGTAGTCCAAGACGGGGTGGTCTCGGTGGTGGTTGTGGTAGAATGCTGACTTAATCTAGGCGTGCCTCTCAATACAGGAGAGGTCACGCATCGAGTATCTAACTATTTACCTATGGGTCATAATCACATGTCTCAATGTTTCCTATGGTTTATATATTAATCAGAGATTCATAAAAGGATGCACTGGCAGGTTCTCGTGGCAAACCAGAACACCACGAGGCAGAAGCAAACACATGTATACCCAGCCATTTCCAGGAGGATTGCCAAATACTAGTCATATCGTGAGCCAGGGGTTGCACAGAAGACACAGGGCATCGATCTACCAGCTAGCGTGGAGAACTCGTACGATGAGACAGTGTGACTGTCGGGAGACGGTCAAGATAATCTGCCACCACGTCGCGCGCGGCGAAAAACGCGAACGTTTTCGTAAATTACAACAGCCGGGTTTATGTAGACCACGAAATCGTAGACATTCATGGCTACTTTCAGTTACACATTGTCCATTGTAGCTATTTGAGGCCTAGAGGCATGTCGCAATCCCCGATTGCGACGCCGCGCGCGATGCTTACCAGCACAGCGATTTACGATCATCTAGTCACATACCCGTGACTGCCAAGGAGGAGCTTTTGTTTCGGCTGTCCCTGACTGCTTTATAACTGTACGCCCCATAATCCATAATACTTATTGGAGATTCTTTTTTTTTGGGTCACATAATCTTCTTCTAAAGCGGATGTAATCGAGGAGATTTCAGTGACTTTTAGGAAGCCCTTCTGACGCTCTCAACCTTTAAGATTACGATAGCTTAGAACCTGTGCTAACGAACCGCTCAATACAACTTAAAACTAGTGGCCACCGTTTAAGATTCCAAGATCAGTTTCGAAGGTCCCACCTCTCCCTCCCGAAGACGTGTCCCTCATTGGCACAGACGTGTGAATCAAGTGCTTAAAATTCATAAAGAAGCTGTGCCAGTTCACCCCGTGTCTCGCGCTCATCAAAAGAGCCGGCGAATATCTTGGCAACCCTGCGTCTAGCGCTGTCCTGCACTCACTGCTCGGGAAGACGTCGCGCTCGTGGAGCGCCATCAACTGAGCAAGGTTGGGTGCCGAACTGCTGGCGCACGAGACACTGCAGCCGTCGCTACGCACACACGTGATTCCCAACCAACAACATGTTTACTACGAGCCCTAGTGGTGAGCTATATAAAGAACCCTCTGGGCGGGCTGGGTAGCGCTGTTTCATTGCTGTGCGTTATCAACAACGATCATGAGTGTAAGTTCTGTTGTGCTGTGAAGATAGAGTAGTGATTTTAGTCATTTTGTATCCCGTGTGGGTACAAACTAGCTGCTAGATGCTGGAAGAAGATTTAGTTCGAACTGAAGTTCTTCTTCAGGACACCAACCATCCCTCTGCAAGTGCTCCCAGTGGGCTGCTAGGAGCGATCCGCAGGACTTCTGTACGTCTTTATAGTCTTTTTTCTTCAAACTGAGGTACCATTTGGCTTTGGGCTTGTTAAAAGTGATTGTTAGGTTGCGATTCAGCGCCCAGTAAACTGCCCGACAATTCCATCAAGGCCATCAACAGCAATTGTTTTCCATCGATTGAGCAGCGCAACGCCAGCGAAAACATTAACTTTTGGAACACCGCCATCGTGTTATCGGCGCAGATCTTTGGGCAATTTCCCCTTTGCAGCGCTATGGCGCCATGCTGGGTTTCGGGGAAGTGGGGAAAGGATACAAAAAAGCCAGTCGAACGAGAACTAATGACAACTTTTTTAGGATGCATTTGTCCAAACTTTGCATGTAGTAGCCCATCCACTTGAGCCGTATAAGGAGGTAAGGTTAACACTCTGAAAAATTCAAGATTCCAACTAACAGGATTCCTCTTCAGCCGGTTGTCCCCCTTGTGCTCGCGGCAAGCGGTGATGCTCAACAACAACAGGTGGGCTATTTGCCGAGTCTAATCCTAAGCCTAGAAAACTCTCAGTCCTAGCTCAGTCAGCCATTCAATATCTGAGTGGTTTTCAGGGACGACGAATGTCCGATGTGGAGCATCTCTGGAAGAGTGTGGAAAAGATTGACGACGGATTACTATGATTAGAGCAGTAATGCTTCCTCTGATTCATAAGAAGCTTTACTTTCAAAGTAAACGAAGTATTCTACCCTGGTATTTGCTCCAACTTTTTTCTACTTCGAATTTTTACATCGTAAAAGATGGCTGATATTGACCTCGTTATTCTTGTAGATACAATTACCAAGTGTAGGTAACTGCTGTGATTATATTTTATAAGATAAAGTCTACTTTCTTTAGCTGTCAGGTTTATTGATACACAGATTGCTCAGAAAAAAGCGAAGTGAAACGTTTAAAACCTGCGAAAAACCTTCTCTTCTACATGACTTAGAAAGCAATTTCGGACGAGTTTCCGCGGCTGACATCGTTCCAATTCAACTGCTAGGACAAACGGGTGGACACCGCTGCAGGTAGGCACCGTATATCCATGAGCGTCGCAGCCGCCTCATATATAATGGATTGGCGTCGGCCATCGCTTCATATTGATATTCGGGCGGCAACATGAGTCAGGCGATCCGAACATCAGCAATCGGTCGATAGTCGTGGGCCGGGCGGGGACGTGGCGTCCAGGTCGTAATGTCGGCAGCTTGGTATGCGCTATAGGGGTATCTTTTGCTTGACAAGAAGCGTCACGCAAGTGGCTTGCTCAGGAGGCGCCGAAAGTCTCTCTGCTAGGACGAATTAATCCTACACATGCTGAGATGGTTTAATCGTGATCACCTTTCTTTAATGAAATAACATTGGCGTGATAATAGATAAGATCTTTTAAGCCACATAGCAATGGAAGGCATGCATTGGTAGATTCGCGGCTTTACAAACCCCGCAAGATGGGCGCCGACTTAACAACCCGACCGTCTTCGTAGGGCTCTAAGGCCGCGTTCAGACTTCGCGAAGGCGCGCTTCGGTCGCGCTTCGGCGCGATCGATGCACATACTTTCGACTGCATCGAACGCGTGACCGACAGGGTTGCGCGTCGCGAATGTCTGAACGCTGCCTAAGAGAATATTCACCGGCAGCGCGTACACGGAGCTCCTCCTGCTGTGCGTCGCGATTTTCCAAAGCGTGTAAAAAACGACTCAGATACCTTTACCTCCAAACCAATAGCTTCAGGGAGCAAGGCGACTTCGCTTGATTACCGGTAACTGCTTTCTCTAGATGGTACATACCGACACGGTGTGTTGCTGATCGACACTCCTTGTTAATTCAAATTTGTTAGTTCGAACATAATTTAATATAAGATGTCGCCGAACGTTTGGCACCGTACATCTAGCATCTTCAGGAACGGACAGATATTTTTTTCTGGTGGATGTGGATTGAAATAATCATAGCATGCATCGGACACTATTACTGGGGAAGGGTATTGATTGCTATCACGAGAATGCTGAGTTATGGGCAAAAGTCGGACCACGGACGGGTATTGATTGCGAAGTGTAGTCCCATCAGGTTGGCAATAGAAATGCCAGTGATAAGATCATGCAGTCTTTAGCCAGTCACATTTTTAAAAAGATTCTTGCCGCCGCTGGAACGCTCGAAACGCGTTTCCACCGGCAAGATTCTTTTTTATGCCCTACCTTGGCGCATGAGACGCACATAGAAAACGCTGCCTTGGAAAGTTTACTGTTGTGTCGCATTTGTGCAGCTCTAGATCAGGTAGATTCTTGTGGTCTGACAATGGCTGTTAGGTTGGCCTTTCGAGTAAATGGGCAGTTCGTGTCATGCCGAAAATTTCCAAAGGCAGAAAGGTGATTAGCTCCTCGATGGTTGCTCTTTAAGAAACATGGTAGAGAATTTCCGGTTTCACGTTGGCATGCCGTGGACGTCTGAGTGTTTAGGACACTTTGAGCCATCTAACCGGCATTGCTTGTCGGCCAAACACCCCACAGTTTAATGTCCGTGCAGACCCTTGCTCAAATCCCGGTGTGTCGAAAGGCGCAAATTGTCGGCTCATCATTTTGTCGAACATGATATTTTCCTATAGAATGTTTTGCCGCACATCAGCGGATCACGAATTTTACAAAGATATTCAAGTTGAATGGAATCGCTATCCTATACAAATGTAAGGCCAATCCCAGTGATTCACTGAAATTCGTCCCATTTTGAAACAATGCATACTCTCTCTAAGATCTACGGAAACCGGCTATTTAATAATCTTTCAAAGGATGTAGCCGAGATTTGCGGGAGAAGACTGCGCTCACCTGTCAATAACATGGTTGTTTTGCTCACAGCAATCTGGGATTGTTCGAAGCAAAAGCTTTCAGGTGAGAGCTGGAGATGAAAACTCTACCTCACGGTCAAGAAGTCCATCGTATGATCCCTTGTCTTTCAGAAAACAATTTATATTGTTAGGCGGGGCTTTCTGCGTTTTTAGTGTGGAAGTGCTGCTTATGCAAAGGCCGTCAGCATCAAACATGAAGAGCAAAAGTGTATGTAGGCTCATACTCACAGAGGCTAGCTGGCCACCGCTGATTAAGTTTTTGGTATGGCCGTCATGCGCAAGTGCTGGATCGCTCTTCTGCTTTATCAATAAAGGTGTTTTCGTGGGGCTGCAGGTCTTTGCTTTCTTGCGTACTTTTGGCAATGGATTGCTGTGCTCGCGTTAGTCACATTTGCTTTTGCCACTTCTGGCAACGAATTCTGTGTTCGCGGTTTCAGTCAAGCGGAAGTGATTTTCATGTTCGGTGGGTAAAACACACTTGGCGCCAGAGTTTCATGTAACCAAACACACTCCTGGAGATATTGCTCAAAGCTGGGCCTCAGCGGGTGTGGGACGGAAAATTTAGGGTGGTGCCGTAATCGGGAAAGCGTGAAATAGGATAAACTGACGAAAACCTTAACTCCACAGATCGTTTTAGCGTAGCTCAACTCATTCATTGTGATTGTTGAACACCGTGCGGATAACTCTGCGAGCAACTGTCTGCCAACTGTCAATGACTGGAATCACTGTGATGAAAGGTTCAATTCATAGGGGACAGGTCTAGGCAGTGCTGCTCGTAGCAAACACAACTCAGAGGGCAATTTGTGAGCGGAAAAGTTGACCGTCTCCTTCACTCTGTCACTCGTATCACATAAGTTGTATAAAGCGCTTAGGAACTGCAATGTCACCCACTGAATTTATACTCAAGAGCCAAGTACCTCACGGCCTCGAACTGATTTCATACTGCTGTCGCAACAGGCTTAAGCAAAAGAAGTTCATGATGCTCAGGCTCCTTGTCTCCCTCGCTCAACGATTCCGTACATGAGTCTTTATATCGAGCAAAAATGTCCGCTATCTCTACTGAAGCCGGGGTGCTCCGTGGCAAGTGACACGCTTACAATGTGCGTGAATCGGCATTCAATTTCTGAAATTTTTTCTCAATTTCTTTCTCCCGCACAGGCCAACCAAGCCTTCTACCCAGGATGGTAAATTGACACCACATTCGTCTGCAAGGATAATGATTTGTACATCGGCTGGCCTCGCAAGTCATTGTATAGGCCACATCGCATTCAATAAGCCACTACGATTCTGAATGGAAGTAGAATGCGTGCCGCATCCGGAGAGAGGGATTGACCAACGGCGATAACGTTTTCCTTTCTATCCAGTGCAAGTTTTCACACTGCTACACGAAGGTGATTCTTTGGCCTCGACACACTCCATAGTTTTTCCTTAACCCATCAACAAGTATTACGTATGAGAACACTGCACAAACAATAGTACACCAATGATACGCTTAGTTATCTTCAGGGCATAATACGTGCTAGATCGTTGAAAGGCGGCTGTCTTCCCTTCCCAAGACGAAAACATACGAGTATTTCGTACTAACATTCTTGTACTGCGTCACAGTGAAGCTTGTTCACTTCCTGCGCCCAACAAACGAGGTGTACTGAACACGTCGCAGTGATTGTGGAAAATGGGGAAGTGAATTTGCGGCGGTGAGGGGCACCAGTTTCAACTGCATAATTGTTTGATCCTAGGATCGAATCCCGTGGGCCAGTTTCCCATCCCTTAAGGTTAGTTTGAGGTAGCTTATGGTGAAGTCATCTATTACGTTGGCCATTGAAGCATTAATCATTTTTTAGTTATTTATCTCCCAAGTGTTCATTCTTGTGTGCTTCCTTTCTTCACTGTCATCCAGCATAAGCACGATGATTTGGTATGAGGTCTAAAATGCTAGCAAGGTGCTATATAGTGGGGGAAAATGGCGAAAAAACGAAGTGAAAGCGGTAAAAACCTGCAAAAAAGCCTTTGTTCTACACGACTCAGAAAGCAATTTCGGACGAGTTTCCCGTTGGCATCGTGCCAATAACCGCTACGGTAGATACGGCTGCATGTATGTACTCATATATCCGTGCAGCACCGCAGCCGCTTCATATCGACCCTTCGCTTCATAGTGTACTACACTACACTGTACTAAATGAAGCGAAATGAGCATCAGGTACGGTCGTTCATTTGTGGGCGGGTGGGCGGTGGGCGTCCGGGTCGGAATGTTGCAGCTTGATATTACGCTATAAGGGTACCTTCCTTGGAAAAACTCCACGCAGCGCCTTTTCAGGGACACGGAATTCCGTCCTGCTAGGTATATTCATCCCACACGTCTTGCGGACTTATCGTGCCACGTGCCAAAACCGGCGATTTCATATTGTGGGTAGTGGCGCTCAATTAGAAAGCTGCTGCCGCTGAATAACTTTCTAGGAGAGAAAAAAAACGAAAAAAAACCTGGAGAACATCAGTTAGAGACTTAGCAGCCTCCCTGGATGAATTTTCCGGATCTGCTCGTTTTCTGCCAGTGAAGCGATATCCTGCCATCTGTAGCTCAATAATCGTTTCTCCGCGCCACCCACACTAATACCATCTGAGCGACAATTCCATCTAACAACAAAAAAATGGAAAACATGGCGCAAAAACTAGTTTGTGACAGGAAACGGCCTTTGAATTACGGTGGATGGCATGACTGAGGAGGCGTCAGAAATGCCACTTATGAGGGCCACAGCACCTTCGGAGGGCCACAGCACCTTCGTCACTAATTGTGAAGTCGCGAATGTGGGATGA